AGTTTAGTGGGTCTGAACTCTGAGCTGTGGGCTGAAACGAAGGCCGTCGTTAAGTATTGAGGCCTGGTTGAGCCACTCCCCTACCGGACCTTGTAAGGCTGATGATCTGTGTCTGACGACTCGACTGTCCCGAGGGATACGAACCCCTCCAAGGACCGGTACAGACCGGCGGGCTGCTCGGTGTGGCACAGTAGGCTGGACAGGCTGAGTTGTGGGCTGAAATCGCCAGAGGAACCAAGCTGATCGCGTCGTCCTGTCGGCGACGTTAAATAATTCTTGCGAAGTTGGGGGATCTTCTAAAATACCTCTTGATCAGCTTTTGGTTCTGTAGTGACAGCCTTAGAGTAGTCTTGAGTTAAGTTGTCTGTGGCCCTTAGAGAGTCAGTTAGTAGGTCAGTGTGTTCGGGTAGGTCTACGTGGTGAGGAGTGGGACCCCAGTCGTGCACCAATACCACGATGGATGACTATCCGATGTATGGGCTACTTGTTGGTTCTCCCTCTGGGGGACCCTCTGGCGTCTCCTCTTTCCTCTGGGCTTTTGGCCCACTTTCACGTGTAGTGTAGGGCCCACTCGCGGTGGGACGTCCACCACCCCCTACACGAAGGAGGAGGAGGAGAAGATGGCCGCCCTTCTACAGGAGAAGAAGGAGAAGAAGGAGGCCAAGAAGAAGGCCTTGAAGGAGGAGCAGGCGGCCAAACTGAAGAAGATAGAGGACGAGATGGCCAAAGAAAAAGAGAGGTTGAAAAAAGAAGAAGAAGAAAAGTTGAAAGAGGTGGAAGAGGAGGAAGAAGATGAAACGCCATTGCAGAGGAAGAGGGTACAGTATAGTGGTAGTAGGGATGAAGAGATGGAGAAGCGAATCTCCGAGTGGGTCGCCAACTTATCCTTGGGCGAAGAAGAAGAGGTGGCAATGTATATCTCTAAAGATGATCAGGAAGCCGCTATGAGTTTGGGAAGCAGAAAAGGATGTTGTGAAGCGGCAGGCATTGGAAGACGAAAAGAGGATGGAGTGGAAGTTGGCAGTGATGAGGGAGAAGAAGAGGAGAGTGGACGCGGCA